GCCCTGAGAATTAAGGTAAAGGTTCCCCTCGCACATGTGCTAGTTGTTCCCGACTCTAGGGGACAGTGCTCATCTCTGTTTTAAAGCCAAAGAGCCAGAGATATCCGATTGTTTGGGAACTGAGCCATTACTTATGCCTGCAAATGGACAACAGGTTTCCCAAGAGAACCATTGTTTCCCATTGTTTTAAAAGAAATGCTTGTGATCTACAGCTATTGCCTTCCAATATTCACTGTTAATATTAAAAATAGAAGCTGACTGTCATCTAATTTTACATCTCTCCACCCCACCTTTGTGAGTGTATCCAAATGAAACCACTTTCCACGTACTTTAATGCAGCAAAGAACAAGGCAGGAAAATACTGAATTACTACCTTCAGTTTGGCCTCTGGCTGCATAGCGCAGTATTAATTTTCCAAACGAAGTATAACAAACAATATAGTAGAGAGCAAAACAAATGCAAGAAATGGTCTTGCATGTCTTCTAAAAACAAACACAAACCATAGTGTAATATGTGACCTAAAAAAACAACCCAAAAGTTGTTTAAGTTTCATTCAATTTCAAGGGGGTGGGGTGGGGAGTGCAAGAATCCATTTTAAAATTGCAACTTGCAGAATTAAGCTGTGTGCTGGAGAATTTAATATCTGCTATATTAACATGCCAAAAATTAAAGGACTTTACATTATTTAGCTGACATGTGCAATTTGAACAGTGATTTAAAACAAAATAAGGGGAGTAAGAAACTCTTGAGAAACAAAGCTGTCCTCGTAAACACCAGTTTTAACTGAGCTACACTTGAATGAGCTAATTTGTTGTCCCAAAGGACTTCCGAGACACGCAGATAGAGTTTAAGCCAAGGAACAAAGGAGATATTATGCTAATTAGGATGATCATCCAATTAAAGCCACCTTAATCAATGGTCTAAAATTCATTTGATTAATTTAGATAACATATACTGGATTTTTAGCAGGTATTATTTTAGAATGTGCAAGAGAATGTTAACGGTCTTTTAATCTCTCTCTCTCTTTTACTCCGTACCACACTTGAACATCAAACATCCTGACTACAGAAGTGAAGAGCCACAAGAAGATGGTGATGGTATCCACATCCTTTTAAAGGAGTCCCAGAGCAGCCAACAAGACTTACTTCTTTGTAACAGAAGATGCCTGGAGTACTCTCTGGATACAGAGGAAGGGTGTAAATGAAAAAATAATCTAATAACCTTGAGATTTCATAACTGAAAGGAAACCCCTTCCAATACTCAAGGGACAAAGGAGTACTAATGATAATGCATATGTGTGTGTGTCATTAGACGGTCTTGAGTGAGAATCATCTGACACAAGGTATTATTTTACAAATATTACAGCATAATTCTAGCCAGTTAGGAACTGTGCCCTTACACTTCCACGCATGAATGCATAGACAAGCAATCTGGTACCCTCCAAATGTTTTGGGCTGCAACTTCCATGTTCTCTAACCTTTGTCTGCTAGCTGGAGACCAACCTTGGAGTGCTTTCCAATTATCAGCCCAAAACATGTCAACAAAGTCCTTGCGACAATAGTATTCTTTCCTTTTGTCAACAGAATCCAGATTGGATAACTTCTGAATGGAATTTAGAGCAGGGTGAAAAAAACCATATAGAAAAACAGTAGGTCAGCTTGTGATGAGCCAGAAACCTAAGGTACCAGGAAGTATTGGGGGCTTGAATGCTGCTTACTCACCCACCTTCTAATTGCAACTCCCTCTCAATATATTTCAGCAATACCTTTAACCTGGTCCTCTGTTGAAGTGAAATTTGAAGTTGGTAAAGAATCCTGGTTCAGCATGAAAATATATTTCATACTCTTCTGATGGCAACTTACAGGGTTTTAAGAAATGGAAGGCTATTGCAGGAAGTGCATTCTGCATCTGTATGTGCATTCTGATGTGCATTCTGCATCTATACAATGAGAACTGATGTGGGATCTTTCCAAGCAAATCAACACCTCCACTTCATTGGAATACTAACAGAAATCATTGTGATTGTTCCCACCACAGAGCTGCATATCAGCACACATAAAATAGATCACCACAAAATAAAACCATACAGCAGCTTGTTGACTATCTAATGTCCACGCAAAATCATGATTAAAGATAGGATGAGTAATAGAGCTTGAGAAAAGTAGGGAGAAATGCAATTTTGTGCGGCTTGCTCCTACTCTCCCCTCTGAAGTAATGACTTCCGCTGTGTCTGCTCCAACTCCCGACAACAACTAGTCTGCCAGAGGAATGCTTGCAATTTTGTGATCAGCCACAAACCTGCTGGAATAACAGGCATAGTTCCTGTAATTAAACAGTGACCTTATATGAAAAATGAAGATGCTGCTAATTTAATGTATGTTAACCCCTCCCCCCCACAAAAAAACCCTGGTCATTCCTTAAGAATCCTCCCCCAGCTTCCAATAGTCATAGTTCTGGCTCCATAAAAGGAAGGCTGCCTCCCACCGAAAGAGGAAAACAGTGATTTGCTTCCTTGTTAAGGTTTGCAGAAACTGGAGACATTTGTAACTTGCATGAATTTTCAGCACACTGACAGCAAACATTAACGTTACCTTTGGCAAGAGATGGTTGTGAAAATTTATAAATGCTCTAATTTGTGTCTGCTTTTTTTGTTT